AATTATATAAAATTATATAAAAAATTAACATACTTTATATATAATTATATATAAAATATGTCCATATATATACATATATTACATTTTCTCCCGAGATACGAATTGAGAGTATAATTTTAGCATTGTTTCTTTTACAAAAATACAAATTTGAAAAAATGGGGAAGAACTGTCCTTCTACAACATTAGATTATTTATTGTGATAGAATTGGGCTTATAACACTAACTTTATTCTTATATATCTTACAAACAGATAACTGTTTTTTCTTTAACAGCATTCAATTATGCAGTTTGTTAATACTATATTTAACATCATAGTAGAATATTTGACATAATGAAACATTAACATATTCTTATCGTATATTTTATACATAGAACTTATACTACTGGAGAGAGAATGGCCTATCCAAGGCTGCGTTCCAAATTTACTGCCAGCACTAAAAATGCTACAGTTTACGTTACGTGCACTATAGATTTCCAGTACTGGCAGTCAATTTTGGAACACAGCCCAAGCAATGAGTAGAAAGTGAGCAAGATCTTGCTGATCTGAGAGACAGAAGATTACTGTCCTGCTCAATAACTTTTCTTCTTTCTGCGCATGTGCCAAAAGAGGATAGAATAGGACAGAAATACATCTTCTATCTTTCAGTCTTGCCCACAGTTCGACGTCCGTATTCCCCCTCCAGTAGTATAAGCATTATGGGTAAAGTCACCCAAAATATATATATAATGTAGATTGTGGCACATACAGTCGGTCACAGAAAAGTTGCAACACATTTTTTTGATAGTTTCGGAACCCAGGCCGGTATTTATAGTCGATTCTTATTTCAAGACCGTCTTAAGTAATGACTACATTTACACGACTCGATTTACGTCGAAGTTATAACATTGATGTTATGAAATAGGCCAATCACGGCTATTCCTCTGAAGAATGGAATGACTGTGATTGGCAAGTTTCATACATCGATGTATAACTTCGACGTAAATCGAGCCGTGTAAACGTAATCATTGGCTGCGTTCAGCAGACTCAGCAGTTTTGCAACCGTTTTATGAATACCGATTCATAGTCAGATCTTATATTCAAAACCGTTTTAAGTACGGTTTTAAGAAGTCACGAACCAATCAGAGGGCTGTATTAGCATCTCAAGACATTTACTGCGTTCAGCAGACTCAACAGTTTCGCAACCGTTTTGTGATTCTTCGTTGAGATAGAACAATTCTTTTAAATCTAAAAGTATAATCCAATCAGCGCGAGGAATCATAAAACGGTTGCAAAACTGCTGAGTCTGCTGAACGCTGCCAATGATTACGTTTACACGGCTCGATTTACGTCGAAGTTATACATCGATGTATGAAGGCCCGTCTACAATACACGGAGTAAGAAGTAAGAGTAAGAAATTGATCAATCACAGTCGATTATTCTTCTCACATTCGACTGTGATTGGTCAATTTCTTACTCTTACTTACTCTTACTCCATGTATTGTAGACAGGCCTTGAAACTTGGTCGGTACCTAAGATAAAATTTTAAGGCTTAAACATAATAGGCACAGGCAACAGGAGATAACGAGCCGTCCAATCAGAGCTCTGGAATATAATATCGAACTTACACACCAGGGGTTCTATTCTTGAAAAGAAACGTATACGAAAGTCTAGGGTAAAACTATAGTATACGTGACGTATACTGTAGCATTTCCCTAGATTTTCGTATATGTTTCTTTTCAAGAATAGAGCCCCAGAGCTCTAATTGGACGGTTCGTTATTCTCCGTTGCCTGTGCCTATTGCCTGTGCCTATTGTGTTTAAGCCTTTACTCGAAATACTATAGTATGTATGTTACATGTCCTATATATTTTGAACAAAATTTTCCTCAGAAAGGATGTTTTGGAATATAGCTTAAGGGGATGCTGGAGTCTTCTTTTTTACCGATAAAGCAAGCGTTTATGTTTCTTGCGCGGTTCTTCGAATTAGTTGCACAGAATAAAAATTCCTTCTCCACGATTGAAATATCCGTGCTAATGTATCTGCTCCTGGTGTATTTTGTGTCCAAAACTGGAAAAAATAATAAATTACAGATTCCTGTATCCATGTGCTATCAGCTCACCAAACTTCGTGAAAAAATTATATGCACGTTATATGCTCGAAATTATTCGAGAAATTAAGCACATGTAGAATAAATAGACGATTATAGTCGTATCTTTAGAATTAAGTTTTGACGCCTAAATAAAAAGATTAGCTCAAGGAATGAAATTGTGTGTCTAGCACGTGAGAAATCGACGACGTATGACTGTTTAACCATGAAACCGAGCAGTATTTTAGTTGATCTCTTTCTAAGAGATGGCGTTGCAATATGTTAGATAAGGACATATGAATGCGTTGAGTGAGACACAACAATATATAATAAGTATAAGAAATGAATAAAAGATGTCACTATTGTCGAATTTGGAATTGAAAAAAGTCTGTACTATCGATCTTGATTAACTTCGACCGTCACTGCAGCATCCCCTTAAGTCCGGATCTACAATAGGTGTTTTATGCCTTACGCCGTAAGAAACTGACCAATTACCCCGGATCTACAATAGGGTTTTAAGCCTTAAGCCATAAGAAATGGGCGAATCACAGTCGCTTATTCTTCTCGGATTCGACTGTAATTGGTCAGTTTCTTACGGCATAAGGCATAAAACACCTATTGTAGATCCGGACTAAAGGGATCCTAAAACAAAGCTCGAACTCCGACGAAATCGCTAGATGTCGCATCGCGCGCGGCACATCGACATGACTTTTTATACTACCACAGCAATATCTCACGCAGTCTATGGTCGCGTTCAGCAGCTCAACTGTTGTGGAGCGGATCCGTAAGCGCTTGCTGCTATTGGATGATCTAGAAGAATACACCAATAACAGCGAGTGCTCACGGATCTGCTCCACAACAGTTGAGTCTGCTGAACGTGACCTATGATACACGCAGTCACACTTACGTATCATTTTTCGTACAACGAATTCGTCGCGATAAAGCGTCTAAATCTAATTCTAAGAACTCGACGTTGTATATTCGTGCAAATTACGTGTTTGGGAACTATTATTTCGTACGTTCGGGTTGCAAAGCTTTCATATCAAGCAAATGTTGTCATGACTTGACAGCTGAGACGCCATGTTACACTAAGGCTGGGGTCGAGGAGACGCTATTAGCGATATTTGTGTCATTCTATCTTCATCGTCCATTAAATGTGAAACAAGGATAGTTTGACACAAATAGCGTTGATAGCGCGCTCCCCGAACGCAGTCTAAGAAATGGTAAAGAATATATCGATTTCGAAATTTTTTATTATTCTCAGCGTAGACACCACTTCACAAACACGTATTAATGCGTATACTTCAATCCTGGAAAAGGATTTTCGAATCCGTGAAAGAGAAAAAGAGTATTCGTTATACAAAAATTATACGTGTTTAGTCGGTAATACAGACATCTTTAGGATCCCCTTAAGTAAATACTTTTATTATATTTACATCCTGCTGTTCCATATTTAAATCTTTGCGTAAGAACGATGTCGCTATAATGCGGGGTCTACAATAGAAGTCGTAGCAGTCGTAGGATGTTAAGTCGTAGAAAATTGACCAATCATAGTCGATTATTCTTCTCATATTCTACTGTGATTGATTAATTTTCTACGACTTAAGACTCTACGACTGCTACGACTTCTATTGTAGACCCCGCTTAAAAGTTGAATTAATTCAACTTTTCAACAGTATCGCTGGCGACAAGCGACATCATGTAATTGTACCTTAAAGCCAATATTACATGCGTCCATTTTATGTCGTACGACAAATTTTTCAATCCTGTTGATTGGCTATACGACAAAGAGGTTCGAGATCCTGTCTGCCTTCAATTAACACGCTTGAAAAATTCGTCGCATGACAAAAAACGGACGCATGTATTAATATTGGACTAAAAAATAAAATCCTATTTTCTGATTGGTTGCAGAGCGTCTTACGACGCACATCGGATCCAGTGTGAATCCAGCATAACGCACTATTGATATTCAATTGGCAGTGCAACCGAAGGACGTAACAATAGAAAGTTACTAATTAGTAACTTTAGAACCATATCAAGTGCACGAGATAAAGCCAAGTTAGGCCACTAGGCCTTGTGGTGTCTCTATAAGGCACTACATGAGTATTCGCATCCGCCATTTTTAGTCTTTTCCTGTCTTGCTCCTTTCCTCAATCCCTTGCTCTCTCTCCATTCTGCCGCTGAGCTGAGAAGATTGAAGAGAGAATGAAGAGTAGGGAAAGGACTAAAAATAGCGGATGCGAATACCTATGTTTTAATGCTCTAGTCTCTATCGCACCCTCATCCTTCTTATCTACGCACGATTCGTGCTAGCGCTCATAATCGCGTGCGCGCGCATGAGCCGCCATTTTGTCACGTTTTATTTCTACGCGCATCCCCCACCAGGATTGAAAACAAGCGAAGGTCGACGCTGCTCGCCGTGATCGCGGACTCAGCGCATTTTGGTTAGGTTACGAATTGCGTTGTTACGTCTAGGATTTCGATATAGTAAGTAGAACCGTTCCGTAACCGTTGTGTTCGTTTCCACATCCGCGTCTCGCCGGTCACGCTCGATGTGTTATCCGCGCGGCGACGCTGCGCCTCTGCTCGAGCTCCGCGCGCGCGTGTGTTTCACTTCGTCGGAAGAGAAAGAGAGAGAGAGAGAGAAAGTGTGAAAGAAAGAGCGAGTGAGTGAGAGAAAGAGTTTCTTCTTAAAGGCGAAAGGCGGCCTGGCTTGGAAGTTAGATGTTCGCGGCGGGACGGCTTAGTATCCTGTCACCTGGATGCTGTTGATACCGTTGCCGTTACATCGCCGCCACTGCCGCTCGTCGCGCCACTCGACACTCCTCGTCCGGCGTCACGACGCCACCGTCTTTCCTCGTCGACGCCACGTTACCGAGGAACGCGGCACGTCCTGTTTTCATTATAACCTCCAACGCTCGCTATAACCTATATAATTATAACCTCAGGCCCGTGTCAAGACACGACCCGACGCCGATCGACCGAGTTCGGGCCGATCGCGCTGCTGCTGCGGTTCCGCGCGATCATCGTTTGTCTCGCAACAGTGACGAAGACTTGGTCGGCGCAGGGGCAGGGGGAGGGGGGGGTGAAAGAGGGGAACCTCAGTTTGCCGATAATTATTCGCCGTAGTATGTTGCTCGTAATATCACGACGCGTTCCCGTTGTGCTTCGCGGAAGGGATACGCAAACGTTCACGCATCTACGTCGTGAACTTCCTCATGGCGGCTCGCCGCATGATGTAACCTCCGATTCGCAGAGGATCACTCGCGTAGAATCGTAATCTCGAGACAGATCGCCGTAATCATCTTGTGAGTTCTCGTAATGTCGAGCCATTTTGCAATAAAAACGCGCAATTTGCGAATATATTGAACAATAAGTGAATTCTCATCGATCGTGTGGCTGCAACAGGTTTGTGAATCCAGCGTCCCATTCATCTGACTTAAGTTACGAGATCAATCACGCGATTCATATGCAATGACACTCTAGAGCATTGCAAGCAGGCTTACCGTTTTCTTATGTTGCCTGTGATTTCAGTGATGGAGTAATTTAAAGGTCGAACAAAATGGATGTTGCCGGAGATTTGAATCTACAATGGGTAGGAGATGTAGAGCTCCACGAGGAGGTGATATGCGGCCTGGAGGCACAGCTGGTCGCATCAGAGGAGGAGGTGATTGGTGCCTGCGAGGAAGTGGCAGTGGAGGAAACCGTTGAATCGATTCCTGATGTAGTACCTGCCACCGAAACTGAGATACTAATGGTACCTCAATCTAATGATATGGAATCAATCTATATAGTGCCACAGGATCAGGGGCACGACTATCTGAATATACAAGTCACTGAAGAAGTAATAGCCGACAACTGGGACAGATCTGGTCCAGATGATGGGTAAGTTTCAATTCAGATATATGAAAGATGTGTTCTTTAGATCTTAGACTTTTTACTTGTTTTATTTTTTCTTTTTTTTTTTTACAATGATTGTATCCAAAAGCGCGATCGTTCACTGAACGCTCAGTGAGTGGTCGTGCTTCTGGATGCACATATTAAAAAAAAAAAGAAAGAGAAAAGTTACAGAGAATTGTTCAAGAGAGATTTACCTAAAAAGAATAGATCTTTTGTCGCTGCATTGGATCACACTAAAATTTTCTATCTACTTCAAATATATAGATCAAGTTTCTTTTAACTCTACAAGTGTATACTAGTTTAGCCATAAAAAAGAGACTAAAATGATCCACTTCTTTTTAAGTTTTGTTATGCTTAATTTTTTTACTGTTTCAATCTAAATAATATTTTTGTATTTTTGTGCATATCTGTAAATTGAAAAATTATTTCCTTGATTCTTTTGTAGTTTGCCTACTAATAATAAATTATTTTTCTTAAAGAGTGGAGATTCCAGAGGCCAAGGTGACTCATGAAAATCTCCTGGAGTACGATGACATGGAAATACCATTGCCGATTGATCAGGATTCTTATTCTAATGCTCGACCGTATCCATGCGACTACTGTAGTCGCAGGTTTCGAAAGAAGGCAAATTTGATGAACCACATTGTGGCACATCAGACAGATCGGCCGTATGGTTGTAACCTATGTGGATCACGCTATGTGCGCAAGTGTGATTTGAATAATCATCTAAAAGTCCATGCATATGCACCATCATCACAAGATGGTCTCGAGGACGACCTGAATGATGAGGACTCGTTAGTTGCGGAAGAGGATGTGACGACCGGTGGCAACAAAGGCAGGCGCAAAAAGGTGCAATCAAGTGCACCGCGCAAACGGAAGAACAACACCGCCGTTGGTATGCCGAAACGCAATTTCGAGGAAGTCAAGATAGAGATGGGCAAGTATGTGTATGAACCAGACAATGCTTACAAGGACACATTATTATTCTACGAGGAAGAGCTGACCGACGGTTATTCTGCACGCAGCGGCAATTATGCATCTAGCTCGAAGTGGCAAATGGAGGAGATGTCTTCTGCTACGGGCAGGCAACAGCAACAGCAGCAACAACAGCAGCAACAATGGCCTATCACCGATCCAACAAAGCCATATGTCTGTCAGACTTGTGGCATTGGCTTTGCTAGGGAGAAGGCATTAGCATCACATGCTCGCATTCATGGTGGTGACAGCCCGTTCGAATGTACTTCATGTGGTGATATGTTCTGGGATATCAACAGTCTGCGGGAACATGTGCGTATCAAGCATGGTGGTACCATTCCTCAAATATCTGATGCAGAGGAATATGAGAATGATGCCACTTACACAGGCGATAACGAGAGGATCGGCGAGTTTTATTGCAACACCTGTGCAGTACCGTTCCATCGTTTGGATTTACTTAAACGCCATCAGAAGTAAGTATTTTAAATTTGCACATAGTGTATTCTAAAACTTACTTATCTCAATGAATGTAAATGTTTAGGTATAGATTATATTATCCAAATATAATGATAATTTTTGAAAGTAAAATGTTTCAATTCCGAACATGGTAGAATTTTGAATGAAATAAAATTTGAATCCAATTTTTTTAAAATTCAAGTTTGGTTTTCTGTTTGGTATCTCCTTTAATACCTTCTGTATAATATCAGGATTTCAAACTTGAACCTCGCGAAAATTAGATTCAAATCTTATTTAATTCAAAATTGTACCATGTACGAAAAAATATTGTTTTACTCTAATTGAAAATTTATAAATTTCATGAATATGAAATGTTATTTTTGATAATTGAACATATTGGGTGCGTTCCATTTTCACATTCACGCGTAAAAATCAGTCAATCCTTATTTATCAAATATTAAATAAGGACAAATGATGCTTATAAGCATTGTAAGCGCAAAACGGAACGCCTAATCGTGGACGTGGTATTTGAAAATTTGTTTATGTGAAGTTTAATATTGTACGTAGAATTCACTTGAAGCCAGAGATGGTTACAGTAGAGTCCAGTCAGCATCACATGTGCAATGTTTGTGGAGAAGAGTTTGAGGAGGCTCTAGCATTGTTGGCACACGCGGAACTTCATGCTTCAAGGTATCCCCGACTTTTATTAATTTACTATTAATAATCAATATACTGCAGAATCAGTAATATTCAATTTCACAAATATTTTGTCAACATAATTCACTGCTCGAGCTAGAATTGGTAGAAGTATGTAGCAATAATATTGATTGTATATAAAGCGACTTCGTTTCTTTGAATCGAATAAATTTCAAGTGCATTTATAGAGCATATGTATACTTATTTAGTAATTTATTTAAAACAAGATCTCCTAGTCGTCGTTGCCTATTATGTGGAGCAAGATGCCGTGATGAAGCAGAAGTTGCGGAGCATGTGCGACAGAATCACGCTGATGATGCACCACCAAATACATGTACATTGTGTGGAAAGACGTGCAAAGACAAACGCAGTTTATTGAAACATTCGTGGATACATAACGTCGATAAGACCTTTGGTTGTACAAAGTGCACAAAACGCTTCCACAGTAAAGCCCGATTACGAAGGTATAAATGAGATAATATAAAAAAATTTTAGCTTTGCAGATTATGTGTGTTATACGATCAAAAATATATACATTAGAATATATATTTTATCTATCATGATTTTTTTGCTAAAAATACAGCTCTTTTATTCTTTATAGAATTTTTTTATTTCATTGAAAATATATTGTGTTACAGACATATGGTATCACATCGCAACAAAATGGTAGCATGTGACGAATGCGGTGAGGAATTCCCTGACGGACGCGCTCTCGTAAGCCACCGTCATTCACATAACAGGGAATTAGGCGGCCGTTCTTTCCCCTGCCGTGAGTGCGGGAAAACCTTTGGTAGTCGCAGTTCACAGCAGATCCATATACGTATCCACACTGGCGAGAGGCCCTATGGTTGCCGATTCTGTTGGAAGGCTTTCGCAGACGGCGGTACCTTGAGGAAACATGAGCGCATCCATACTGGCGAGAAACCGTATGGATGTGCGATTTGTCCTCGGGCATTTAATCAAAGAGTGAGTTGATTGTTAGAATGTGCGAAAGTACGAATAACGAATGCATTAGTTGAAAGAAAAATAGTAAGGCATATTGTATAAACTATAAATATCTTCTCTTTTATGGAACTTTTCATGTTAATAATTTAAAAAGTAAGTTTAGTTAACCACATTCCAAATCGAAATAAATTGTAATTTAATAGCATATATATATATATATATATATGTAGCTGTTTGGTACAATTTTAAAGCATGAGATAATTAAACTGTGCTCTAAAAATTATACATTTCCGTTTTGATTATCGACTTAAAATGAAATTAAAAACTTTTTCTTCTACAGGTGGTTCTCCGAGAACACGTGCGTGCTCATCATTCTGGTCCGGATCCAAAATGTGTGGGCAGTGCAGAACCATATTTGTGCAAGGTATGTGGCGATTCATTCAGCACTTCTGAAGAGGTAGTGGCACATATAGTGCAGCATTGCGACGATAATACTGCGTTAAAACGCCAGCCACAGACTGGACCGCGCAAGTATAAGAGAAGACGCAAAGCAAAGCCTCTTGAGACGAATACAATGGTACGTAGAAATGAGTTTACGTACGACATGATAGAAGGTAGCGGTAGCGGTGTTACCGGTACTGGTAGTGGTAATATTGGCAGTGGTGGTGGCGGTGGCACTGGCACTGGCGGTTCTGATTCGGAAGACAACACGAAGCGGAAACTTGGCAAGAAAAACAAGCAACATCGATCGAACGTCGAGGAAGGCTATCAGAATGTATTAAAAAGTTTTGAAAGCTCTCTACAGAATATAAACTCTATTGTGAGTAACTCCAAGTTAAATGCATCCAAATCGAAGGTCTCAAAAAAGAAGTTGCGCAAAGAGGAAAAGAAGCAGGAAACTCAAACATCGAATCAGTCAGGCCGGCCGAAGATGATACACACACAGAAGACGCGGGTGCCGGTGGAAGTGGGGAGCGATGGCGCGAAAAAGGGCCAGAAGACAAAGACGATGGTGACTCGGACGCCAAAAGTAATGCCGAATGAGCACAAGTCTGGCATTTTTCCGGGTGGCGAGCGAAATCGGCCACGCACAAAGAACGTCAGTTACCACATTGAGGGTAAATCGCAGCTCATACCGGCAACGTTCTCGACGAAATCAAAGGAGGGTATGTCTACGATGTCAACACAGCAGTTATTGGCGAACATCAAACAGGAGCCAGGTCATGTGCAAAAGGCCGCAGGTGACAGTCACAGGAATAACAATGGTAATATTCTAGCTCTTAGTAAAATTCAGGAGTCATCAAACAAGAGAAAATCAATTACTACCAAGAGGACCAAGAGGCAAAAGCACCCAATAAAGCAGGAATTGAACACGTTGATAGTAACAGTAGAGCAACAGCAGCAACAAGAGCAGCAACAGCAGCAGCAACAACAGCAGCAGCAACAGTTGTTACAATTACGTAATAATAATAACAATAACAATACCATGGAGATCAGTGATGATCAGGTACAACTGATGGAGCACGCAGTGGACGGCAGCAATCTGGAAGTAGCTTTCGAGGCGAGTGTCGTTACTGCTCAAGAAGACGAGGAGGAGAGCATATTGCCACACAGCACCGTGCATGAGCTGGACAACGGGGCAAGAGATAACAATGTTAAGCTCAGTGTCAAAGTGGAGTCTGCGCCACCGAGGATGCTCGCTATACATAGTGTTATTGCGTCGGTAGATGATGTCCCGGAAACGATAATACCGGACAGGGTGGAGTATACGTGCGAGATGTGTGCCGCGGTGTTTTCCAGCCGTGCCGAATTATTGGTGCATGTGCCGATACACATTTGATTTAATAATTTGTCCGAGCCGAAGAACGGCGCGGAGGTTTGTTCTACTTTAGTATATTTGCTTAAACGAATCGCATAATTATTTATCACGGATGAGATTTATTGTTTTACAAGGGTAAGTGACGATTGTTAAAGACCCCTTTTATCACCACCGCTGTCTCATCACTCTTTTCCTTCTTCCTTATTGTATTCTTCGATTCTCTATCAAGCATCGCAAAATTCCATCGACTACATATAAATCCTTTAGCTGCAATTTTCGTGTTTCACATATTAAAGGATTTATTAAACATCTTTTAATTCGATTAATATCATTCGAGAACTATTTTGGGGGGGTGGAAACTTTATATTATACTCTGTAGACTCAAGTTTCATCTCTTAATATATTATATATATATATATATATATATATAT